TATCTACATCTTTCTTAAAGAAGGTTTCAGTGTTGTTGTTCTGTTTCTTCTTCTTTTAACAAGATAAATATCAGCACTTCAGTTTTCTCTACCAAATAATACTCCCTCAGTCTGTGTGTCAGTAATGTTCTTGTTGTTAAGCCTGCTGTGCAGACTAAATAGTTCTAAAAAGCTGGCTTTCTACACTAAATGTCCATATCACACACAATTTGGATATTTTGTTGCAAACATTACTCCAGAAAGGGATGGAATAGTGGCAATATACCATTGTGAAAAAACAAAATATCACAAAAGAGATAGCTCTGAAATATGAAAATAAAATACTGACTTTCCCACAGTTTAAAGGGGTTTATAGTCATATTACAGAGGTTACCCCAAGATGGGAAGTGGAATCAGAACTATAGTTCTCTAAAAGTCTCAGAGGTGTAGCCGTGTTAGTATGTAACTTTAAAAACAAGTAGTCCTATGGCACGGTAGGGTACATCTACACAGAAGGGCAAAAGTCAAATTAAACTACACTACTCAGCGACATCAATTGCATATCTTAAGTTGAAATAGCTTAATTCAGCTTTTGACACATTCTACACAGCAGGAAGGCAAATGAAGAACACTCTTCCTTCGACTTCCCTTACTCCTTGGCTGTGTCTACACTGGGCCACTTATTCCGGAAAATCAGCCGCTTTTCCGGAATAAGCTGTGAGCTGTCTACACTGGCCCTTGAATTTCCGGAAAAGCAACGACACTCTACTGTACAAAATCAGCCGCTATTCCGGAAAAACTATTCTGCTCCCGCTTGGGCATAAGTCCTTATTCCGGAACACTGTTCTGGAAAAGGGCCAGTGTAGACAGCCCAGTAGTCTTTTCTGGAAAAAAGCCCTGATCGCAAAAATGGCGATCGGGGCTCTTTTCCGGAAAAGCGCGTCTACATTGGCCACAGACGCTTTTCTGGAAAAAGGACTTTTCCGGAAAAGCAGCCTGCCAATGTAGACGCTCCTTTTCCGGAAAAACTGAAAACGGAATAGTATTCCGTTTTAAGCATTTCCGGAAATTCATGCCAGTGTAGACACAGCTCTTGTGAAATAAGGGTTACCATGAGATGGAGTAAGAAGTCCTCCAGCTCTACATTATTTCGAAATAAAGGCTTGTAGTTTGTATATTGCACTACAGCCACTCCCCGACTTACGGCCACCTCCACTTACAACCATCCACACTTATGACCAAAGTGGTCATAAATGCGGATCCGAGTTACGAATGGCAATCCGTGCTTATGAACAGCACGGTCGCCATGTTACTCTATGGGATCCGAGTTACAAACAGTTCGTGTTACAGACCAAGTGTTAGTCCGTAACTCGTTCGTAACTCAGAGAGCGGCTGTATGTTATTTTGGAATAATGTCAGTTATTCCAAAATAACACTGCTGTGTAGATGTATCTTTAAAGACTAACAAAAAAAATTGTGTGGGTCTTCTAGCCCTGGTCTACCCTAGGGAGTTATTTCAAAATAACAGGCTGGTTATTCTGAAATAACAAGTCCTCCTTTCCATGAGGAATAATGCTTATTTCCAAATAGTTACTTCAAAAGTTATTTTGAAATAGCAGTAGTGCGGATGCTCCACTGTTGCTGTTTTGAAATAACTGCTCCCTAGAGTCATTCAAAGTAATTACTCCCCAGTGCTTTCAGGGCTCTGAGTGGAGGTAGCGTGACCACATTAAGGGAGCCTGTCTTGGACTAATTTTGAGGCTTCCCTGTAGTGTGGACACGCTACTTCAAAATAGTTATTCTGGGAGTTATTATTTCTAAATAGATTATTTTTAAATAATTTCCTAGCATTGACATGCCCTAAGGTGCCATGAGACTACTCAATTCTTTACAGCTCTCTAACGTCTGAAGGGATTCAGACATAGAGTTCCAGTTCTTTACAAGTTACTTTAATACTGTTTAGGACCAGGTACAGGCTCCAAGTATCAAGCTTTCTTTTGAGAAGGAAAAGCATCTCAGTGTTTGTAGCAGAAAATATTAAATGGGCTAATCAAGCATGTGTTCATCTCACTGCTGGTTGACTGAACCAACGTGGGATTGAGTTTTACTTACAACGTAATAAAACTGCTGGTGATAAATTCTAGCTCTTTGTTTATGCCTTTAACACCAGTGTTATTTTTCATTTTTATTCAAGTTGGCTTCATGTCCCTATGAGCCACCTGCACATATTAATTATGCTGGGATCATGAGTAATTCAAACAGGAAAGGATGAGTTAGTGATGGGAGGCAAATGAGATGTGGAAGTGGTGAGATATGCCAACAGCCACTGCAGGCCCCAAGGCAAAGGAGGGGTGGAGGTGGTGATGGCTCTGCATCCAGGGAGTGGAGCTTGTGGTGCAGTGGAGCTTGTGGTGGAAGTAGTGAGGCTGGAGGCTGTCACCATCCAGGTCATGGCACCGCCCCTCTCCCACAGCCCTCAGAGACCTGCAGAGCACTCAGCATGGAGCTCTAGAACTCTGGTGGGGATTCAAAGAGGTCCAGGGATCCAGCTGCTGCTGCAGTAGCAGTGATGGTTGCAGCCAGGGGCCCCAGGCTCCTTAGACTCATGGGGCCTTGGTGCAACTGCTATCTTTGCCCCCTCCCCACCTGTTGGTAGACTTGATGCAAGCCATACCTTTCATCCCCTCCGCCAAATCTGGTTGTTTTTGGTGGGCCAGGCTCAAGATGCCACATCTATGCCCCTGATTGGCTTTCTGGGAAATTGTTACCTGTTGCTCAATATCCAGAATTTGGCCTATTGTAGCATATTTTAAACTATTCTGTGTCACGAGTTATATGGGAGAGAGAGAGAAAGGTGCTAATGGGTACTACCCAGAAAGTGGGGAGCATAGAACATGACCCCAAAGACAAAAATGTGGACCAATATAGGTTTGAGGAAAACTTTGCCCCTCTGTAGAAGTTGTACATGATCTTTGGTACAAAAGCATGCATAAAATTCGGCAAAGTATTTGTAGCAAAAAACTTAACACATCAGATCTTTTTCTATATTTGAATAATTCACAAACACACTTTTGTTATTCAAAATTAGTTAATGTATATTTTATGCAAATATATTTCCATCTACAGATTCTCCTCACAACTATTCACTAGAGATTTTGCTTTGAGTATTTGCAATTTAAGATGTGTGACAGGTCACCTCTGGCATGTGCTATTTTTTTCTGCTCCCTTCCTGGATGACTCAACTTTTAAAAACAAGAATAGGGTTCAAATAAATCACTCAGTCTATTCAATCAGTGCCAAAATAACTACACATAAACATTTCTGGGATAACACTTTATTGTAAAAACTTTCACATATTTATCAGCTAATTTTTTGCCTTGTGTGCATGAAAAATCACCAGCACAAACGCTGCAGAAAGCAACATTAAAAGGGCCCAAAAAGCTGACTTGCATTGGAGGTTTTTATTTCAGTGACTGTTCAGGGACAATTTTTACAGTATTGTATCTGACTGAAGCACAAACACCACAGGGTACACAAGGTCTAACTTCTGATTACTCACACAAAGCCATGGTAAAGCTCCTGCTGGCTGGACATTCACCAGGATGTTGTGTTTAGGGCCCACCTCACTGGGCCCCATGTGCTCTTTAAGCCTCTTGAGTCTAGAGTCCAAGCATTGCCACTGGCTCAGATATCTAGGAAGAGGTTGCTCAAGAGAATCTGCTATCATAGGCAAAACTTCAGTTTGCTGACATCCTCGTCATAAACTGGGGAGGCAGATTTGTCCTGGCCCCACCTCAGTCATGAATGGAGGTGGGCCAGCCAGGCCAAAGTTGAATGCATTGTAACTTGGCTTATGGGGTCACAACACGATTCAAATTTGGCCTCTCCATTTCTCTGTCATGAAAGAGGGTTGCCAAGTCAAATTTGTATGAATGGCATTGTGATCTGGCAAACTAAGTCATAACCCCACTTAAAAGGAGTTTAGCCACTTCTCTATTATAATGGAGGGATGGCTGGGACAAATCTACCACCCTAGGCAGCTGCCTCTGTTTCTAGGCACATTGTTGGGGTGCAGAGCTTCTGTCTAGTACCTGCTCCTAAGAACTGAGACCTCACAGTCCAACTAACTAGCTGCTGGGACTAATGCAAGCCTTCCGACTCCCCTCTTAAACACATCCCCTCTCAGAATTGCAGCCTTGTGAGTGCTCTGGGTTTAAAATGTAACTCTTCAGGGGTATGTGATAGCAAAGCCAACAGACACACTGACTGCACGTAATTCTAAAAACAATTATGTCTTACTTAGTATAGCATACTCACAGGCTTACAAAATAATAAAATACAATTCTACTCATTTTCCTGCCTTGGGTTCTCATCCTTCTGGAGAGTTCTTTGGGCTTGGACAGGGTTCTCTAGAGTGTTGGTGATTCCACTCCTGCAGCTCGTGGTTTCTCTTCCGAACCATGAGCCTCTGTCTAGGTCAGCCTGCTTTCTCTGACCTTAGTTGATTCCCCCACTTAAAAGGGAGACCCCTGCACCAAAGCATGCTCCTCTCTTCTGCCCACAGCTTCTTGTATCTTTCTCTGAGACTGCCTTGTATTTATGTTTCCCCACACAAAATTTGGTTTCTTTGTTCTGCTTCTGGAGATTTTCCACTAGCCTCACTATTTAATAGGTAGGTATGATTACAATGATTCAAGTCTGAGTAAGATCTTCAGAATTTGAGTTAAATTCTGAAAGACGCAAATAGCAATATCCTAATTCTACTCCCTCTGTCAGTTAGGAAAATATTTTAAAGGAATAAATATTGCAAAAATCTTGAATAAAAATTGAGTAAGTATCTGAGGATTTGACCCTTTCCTTATAGTGATTCACTTAACAATAGAAACAGTACAACTCCTATTATGAATAATACCATGAGACACCATGTTTATATCTCTTCATCAGCAATGAAACCATCAGCCACGACTTCCACTCTGTGATGAGAGAGAACTTTCATTTCTTTGTTTTTTAATGATTCTTACCTGACTTTTTCTCATTTTTCTTCAGAAACTCCATTGGGCCTCCTTCATGATGAACATCAAAGAGATTCACAGCTCCAGAATGCAGGCCAAGAAACAGTGAACTGTTCTGAAATGCCAGAAATCTAAAATTATTTTAATTGTTGGCATTTACAAGTTTCTTGCCCTTATTTACTAATGGGCTTGTTTTTAGCTCCTCCAGCATGGATGATTGAAGAGAGCTGATTTACTAGGAATTAAGATGGTACAGGCCCACTCTTGTGTCATTTTCCATTCTGGAGGCCTAAAAAGACTGCTACCAAGGATACATGCAATTCCCTCCCAGTTCTGATCTACCAAAATACCACCCTTCAAGACTCTCATTATGATTCACCTCTTCTGTGGTGCCCCAAAGTATTGTGATTAAAAGTGGTTATTACAAGAGAAAACTTTTATTGTACCATCAAGACATGTATTTACCAAAACTAAAAAACCACAAACACTTATTGTAATATATGCAGTTCCTCATCCTATTTCCCCTTCATACTGGTCTTTAACCCCACTGATCACATTGCATCTACATTTAGATCCTTCCCTAATTGGGGAGGGGGCCTCTCTGTTACTTTTGAAATGCTGTTAGGCACAATTAAGGACCTTATCAACATAAACAGGGAACATGGGATTTGTTATAGCAAATCAGAGCAATGGTCGCTCTAGCTCAGTAGCCTGTCATCAACAGGGGCCAGTACCAGGAGCCTTGAGGGAGGTGCAAGAAACCCAGCAATAAGCAGTTAAGTAATAAATAATAAAATAGTTACAATCCCCTCAACAATATACTTATATTTATACCCGCTGACAAACAACAGTTATTCTTGTTACTCACAAGCCTTGTGAAAACTACAGTTTCATTTGGGATATTGATTTGGTGAAGCAATTTCAAGGCAGGTAAACTCCGGATCTGCACCAATTTGTATTCAGATTCCTGGCACATGTTTATCAGTTGATGGTGATCTATGTCATGTTTTAATCCAATCACCTAAAACAGTTATTGCTTGTCTTTAATAGGGAATATTCCTCAGAAGACACATACTTGATAGATACACCAATCAATACACAAGTCTGGACCACAGCCAGCAGGTGGACTGGGATCCTAAGCATCCTACAGGACCTGCAGCTATAATACCAGGAGCAGGTAAAATGTACTTTGTGGCAAGCAGGATTGGGTGGGCCAAAAAGCCCCCCAAAATAAAGCAAACAAAAACAGTCTATGGTAATTTGCAGGAAAATACTATTTTTTGAAAAAATGTAAGTGTTAATACATAGAGATAAGAAAGCGATAGAAGAGATTTGATACCTATTATAACAGGCATTGAAGTATTTTATTTTACATGGTTTAAGCAAAATTTGTTTTATTCTTTTAATGGAAAAATTATGTCTGAACTCCATATTTTATATATTCAACTGATTATTTGTTATTTTTGTAGCACAGGGGAATCTGTCTCTCTTGCGGGATTTGCAGATCTAAGGCTTTTGCATGTGGGAGAGAGATAAAAATGCTAGAAATAACATGGGAGAGGGTGGGAGTGGGAATTGGAGGCTGAACCAGAGTAGGATTTAAAAAGTAGTTCGCACGGGGCTCTAGTCTGGACCACATTACCATATAAAGTAAAGGAATGTTAATTTACATTTGTTACTATTCCCAGTCATAGGATACTTGAACTGGAAGGGACCTCAAGAGGTCATCAAGTCCATTCCCCTGCCTCATCCCTTTGCTCTGCCAATGAATTCTGTCTTGCTATTCCATTTCTATTCTTCTCCCTCTCATATTCATTTCTGCCACACAGTCCCCTATTCCTGGAATTCTCTTCCTGTCCTAACAGAAAAGCCTCAGGTACCCCCCCCCTTTTCCATAGTGCACCTCAAAATTCACTTTTCCCTCACAAATGCGACAAATACTAATTTCCCCTAATTTCTTAAATTCCTAAGGGTAGGAACCTTTCTTCTGTGCCTTATATGTTTGTTATTTCATATGCTGGCACTGTTGGCCGGACTGGGCTGACACATCTACAGCATTATTCTGCCATAATTACTAATTAAATATGCCAGATTCCTTGACAAGATTTCAAACTGAGAAAAAGCTCTTTAATCCATTTGTAGTTGAGAATGAAGTTGCTCTCCCCTATGAAATAGTGGACTAAATTCAGCATACTCACTTCATTGAGGTTAAATGGAGCTACTTTTCATTTACAGCAATACTTCTGAGTTAGCATCTGGCAATTTACCTGAGCAAAAATAGCCAGATTTATTCTGTAACTGTGTTTGTGGCAGGTTACATTTCTGAAACAAAACAACTGATTGGCCTTTACATTCTGTAAGCAGGACAACGATAGTATAAAAGAAGAGAAAGTTGGATAAGACTAGATATAAAAATAAGGAACAATGTATGTTTTGTTATGAAACTCTGTAAATTCAAAGTACACTTACAGGATCTTTATAGGCCTTCAACTCATAATATACTAGATTTTGTATGGATGTGTGCAGAAACAGGATTCTTCCGTCCTATTCAGAGAGAATTTCATTATATTCCCACAGATGGAAAAACAGACCAGATTAACAATCAAAGTAACACATTGTATGTGTAAGTTTGAAAAAACTGACGAAGGCCGTATTGGCAAAACTAACACAACAGGAAAAAAACAATGAACAGAAAAGAAAACACTTATTTCTGTATGTTAATTTCCTAATTACTGTTAATATAACCGATCTTGCACAATGCAGCTTTTCAGTGAGTCACATTTCGTCAATCCATGATATAACACTTGCACAAGATGATCTTCCTTTACTAAAGAACAGGCCACAGAATCTAACTTGTGTCATTCTTAAGAAGTTGAGGACATTTCGCCTCTTCTGGCTACCTTGCTTAATGTATTTGTAGAACACAATGGCATTTAAAATCATTTCACATTTTGGGGAGTACTTTTCACAAAGTTCCTTCTTCTTACATAGGATAAGGGATCTAGAACACGATATAGAAGATTGTTCATATATGTAAGAAAGCCTCTGTCAGGAAGATACTGATTCTATGATTTTAACCTTTTTTTTTTTTAAAAAAAAAAGATTGTATCACTGACTTTCGACTTTGCTTACATTGGGAATTTGTCTCAATTCAGGCTAGCGATGGTTGGAATTGAAACAAATTCCTGACGTAGAGAAGACATTGGAAACAGTAAAAAAGCTGGTTTAAGTCAGTGCTGTGGCTCTGGTTGCCTTTGCCAAAGATGAAAGCTGACAAGAAGGCAGTATTGGCCTTTGCCTGCATACTTAATATGTAATTGTACTGGCAGGCACAAGGGCGTAATTTTAAATGCTTTAAAACTAGTAATTATATTTTAGTAAATGGGTTAGAACAGCTTTTGTTGAAAATGAAGCCTACAGTGATTAAAATAACATGCCCCAGGACTTAGACATTTTACTATATATTAATTCTTTTTGCCTTTTTCCCTTACAAGCAAGTTGATTTTTGCACAGCTTATGGCCAGGAGACAGTAACAAGATTTCACATAAGATTATTCATGTTAATCTTTGGGGTTGCCATTCTTAACACATTTTTTCAATGGACGTAGGTGCTCAGATCTTTTAAAAACTCTACCAGGTGCCTGTCTGCATCTTTAGATGACTAAATACGTTTGAAAATCTGGCACTTGGTGACCATCAGTTTGGAGGAAGCATATTCAGTACTCACAGACTAAATGTCCAAACTTGCATAGGTAATGATAGATTTCTAAACCCACATTTAAATATCTAATGCCAAATATCCTGTTTTTCAGATCACCCATAGATTCTACTGATTGCAAGGTCTTTTATTCTACATATTGCTCTGGGCTTTGATGGCGTAACATAGTGTTTCCTGAGGGCCTTAATTACCACCTCTAATTTATATGCTCACATCCACCTTTCCATATGCCATGCAGCTTCGGGCAAATTCCTCACACACATAAACAGAAAATATTGTGTAGGACAGTCTGAACAAAGAATTGTCATGCACATTTCTGAGGTAGTTAATTAAGTCCATAATGTGTATGTTAAACCATGGCTCGATCTGACCCAAATTTAGGTATCTGTCTTTATGCGCTCACATTTAATCACAATGTTTGTATCAACTCTAAAGTTTCCTAGTGGGTTCAACATAGTGAGTGCCTCTCCCTAATGGCAAAGCTTGTATCCCTCACTGTATCTTGAGGTAATTTTCAAGTCAGTTAATTATAATATCTGCACACTGGATAATTGGAAATACTTGTTGTGCTTTTTACCTGCATACCAAGAACCAGAAATTCTTGGGTATCCGCATACACCAGCCCGTCATCTACCCAGTAGCATATTGGAGAGGACAGGCTGCAGAGGCATTCACATTTCACTGGATCTCTTACACTCTCCTTTCGAGCATGTTGAAAATATTCATTCTTCTCTGTACAGCTAGGAAAACATACTACTGTATATTAGCACCAAAAGAGTTTGTATAACATGTTCACAGGTGGTCAGATCCCCATACATCAGAGGGTAACTAATGAATGAATTATTTAATGAGCTTTATTTTAGCACCAGGTCATACCAACTCTATTTAAAAATACAGAGACATGCAATATTGTTAGAAATATTTATATATGCACATGCTCTAGAGACTGCATGCGCAGCTACTGTATTCTGGGCTTCTAATTTGTTTTTGATGCATGACATAAGAAGGACTGACTCCTTTTAGGTCATTTGCCATTCCTAGGGCCACAATGGACATTGTCAGTTTCCTTGTGGCAATATTCAGTATGAAGAGTTTCAACTCCCTTTGCTCTGGACTTGGTGCACAAATTGTTAATTCACTCCCAATCAACCTCCTCTGCAATTAGAATTCCATTGCCCTCTGAGGTGGGCAGACAGCAAAGCCCCAATTTAACAATCCCTGCTTTATCCATTTTAGTGCATCTTATTAAAAGCAAATTTTATTTTTGAAATTCGCATATTTTAAAAAATCCCTACATTGTATAAGTTCATTAGTGAAAGAGAGGAAAGCAATTTAATTAAAGTTAGCTAGTAGTTAAATTCAGCCACACCTTAGCTAGACATTGCTAAGTGGGCATGAAGCTGAAGTGACAATATAAAACAATATTAACTATGGCAAGTTCAGTGTTGCAGACATGTCTGTATACAAAGCAGAAGCCCTCTATATAGTCATACATTTCAAAATATTTCTGTGGCATAAATCACAGTAGGAGAGATGATATTTCTAGACAATCAACACAACATTATGCAGTGACATCCTCAGTGAGACAATAATACATTTTTTCCCTATTCTACAGACCATTTGAATACGTTAACTTTCAGTTCTAAGCACACAAACTAATTTCATCTTTTATGTTGTCCTGTATTAAAGTCCCATTTTATTCTCTGTTTACATAGAAAATGGATGTTTATTTAATTTATATTTAAAAAAGTTTTCTGGCTGCTGAATTGCATGGATTTTACATGTATCTGTGTTTTAAAAAAATGTAGGGTGGGTGTGATCTGATGCTAAATTGATGGCTATTAGAAATTACTATTCTTAACTCTATAATGAATATAAACAATTAATATGGACCTGGTCACCTGTGAATATCTTCTATGAACTCTTGCTTTCTATTGCTGGTGGTGCCTGATTCAGACAATAACAACTGAAATGTGAAATCACATTTTTTAAACTGACCCCATACTTGAAAAAGCTCATTTGTGCTTTATTGCAGATATAGGTAGAAGTATGGGATAAGTACATTAATATATAACCAAATGCAATTGCCCAGTACTTGCAAACAAATAATTTACAGAACACTTGGCACAACTCATTCAGAAATCTTATTATATGATACTGATCCATTTACTAGATTCATTATCTTTCTAGATTTGACATGTACTCAAGATAGATTCATTTGACAATGTATTATATTACTTTCAGTGTTGAAAACTGGTCAGAAAGTAGACTCTCTGTCCCATGGGAAATTCTAACCATTTGAAATTTGTTTGCATTCCAAATTGGAACAAAAAGTTGAAATTCCTCAAATATTATTTAGAAACAAGTTCTTAAATAAATGATAAATGATATCTCATATTGCAAACACCTTTGCAAGTAAAGATTTAAAAATTCAGCATTAGTAACCTCTCATGAGAGTATTTCTGACTAATGTAGCAATATGCTTACTGAAGAAAAAAAATAGGAATAAAATAGTTGATGCTATTTTAAGACTCATATCCACCATTAGTTTATGTGACTCTCAGGCAAGACAACATTTAGTGTAACTATTAATAAAGTCATCTGAAGTTAAATTCTGTCTCTTCTTCCTCTTTAATAATCCCAAGATATTCAGTTTCCTTATTGACCTATGGCTAATACAGTTGTCAATGCCCTAACCACTTCCTGTTTTAACTGTTGTAAGCTTCTTTTATTTGGATTTCACTACCTCTCAGTGGCTCCAATCTGTCCAAAATATCACTGTCAAATCAAACTTCCTCTTCAAACATTCTGACCACTTTATTTCCCTCCCTCAATTCTTCCACTGAATTCCATCCGTCACCACTAATTCAAATTCCTTGGCCTCACCTTGAGGGCCCCATCTTGCTTCCTTATTTCTGCTCTTATTTTCCCTGTCTCCATCTCACTCTCTATGCTTATCCCAATCTGTTCATTTTATTGCTCAGCTTCTCTTCTTTTCCAATTCTCATATAAGTTCTTTCTTCCAGACTACTCCAGTTGCTTTCATTGTTCTTACCCACCAGACAACATCTCTTTTTGCTTAATTAAGTTTCTTCTCATTTTATTGACTATAAGCTGTGTGAGGTAGGGAGCACATATTACCTACCTTAGTAAATTAGTGATGCTCTCTAATTTTTTTTTTTAAATCCTTAATGTACAACTAGTTCAGAAAATAAAGAATGAATCAGAAAAATATATTTTCTGCTGGTAAAACAACAAAAAACCATCAGCAAATAAAGGAAACTCACGAGGCTAAGGGATGTTTTCTGTTTAGGTGCTGGTGTATTTCTTCAATAGTCCATACTGCTGCCCTACATGCAGGATCAGTTCTGAAATAAAAAATACCACAGTGTGAAAATTTTAATGGGACAATACATCTAGGGCATGAATGCTCTTTATGCAGTACCATTTCTTTATTGAGTAAAATGATGGACTAGCTTGTCCATACAACACAAAATATTCTGGAATTGTAAATAGGCAATGAAGAAGATGAGCAAGAGTGAGAGAAGCCAGGGTAATGTACAGTACAAGCTATGCTATCTGGCACTTTAATAGGTAGAAAACTCAGTTAACTGGCATCTGTCATAGAGGGCAATGTAATTCCTCCTTTAGTTAACCAGAAAAATGTCAATAGCCATCCAGCATCATTTTTTGACATTTTCCGGCTCTTGCAGAAGTTAAATTTTTAAACTTGTAGCAGTAAAGAATGCACCCCCTGGGCCCCAAGTAAGCAAAAGGGGACTCAATGGCCACCTTCCAGGTGGTCCACAGCTCAAGCTCAGACCTCTTCCGTCCCCCCGGCAGCCTTGCCCTATTTCTCTCCATCCCCTCTCTCCCCCGAGGGCCAGCTTCCGGCTGTGGGGGGAGGAGGAAAGAAAGCCCTGAGCCTTGCTGCACTATCCAGCTCATGGGGAAGAAGCGCTCCCCTTCCTCTGGCTGGGGAAGCAGCAGCATGGCAGATGTACTTTTTGGAAGCTTTCCCTGCTGCTCCCACTGGCCAGAATCCAACTGCTAAGAGCAGCAGGAAGCAGTGCCTGGGACCTATGTGGGCCCTGAAAACAAGTAAGCGCCCCCCACCCCTTCATGCCCAGACTCTCATACCCCGGCTTACTCATACAAACACACACACCCTCCTCTCAGTGAAGGATTGTTCCTTATACTTGGGTGTATACAATTGGAGGCTTTACCTTCTTCCCAAATGTAGGGACTGCATTAATAAAGGAAACACATAGTCTGGAACAAAAGCTCCACCTTTTCTCCTCCTCCTTCCACCAAAAAAGTTGGTCAACTCCCTTGTATGTTCTTCATTACTCTGCCCAAATATCTCACAATTTAAAAGGTGCTGCTACAAGGAAGTTTCTCCTCTTTAATTTCCTCCCCTCCTTTGTGGCTCCCTAATGAACTCCTCTTCATCTCAGACTTAATACACTATAATTATCAACATTTAGCACTGTTAATGGTTTGGGCAATCATGTGACTTGGTTAGTACAGCAAGGATGATGATAATACCTAGCACATACATCACTTTATATTTTCAAAACACTGCACCTGGGTTTCACAGCCACCCCAGAACCCTGGCTTATCAAGTGGTCTGCAGATGAGGAGATTATTAAGATGATGTTTCCAGAGTCCAGGAAGCACATTAGCTATTTCTGCATTAGAATAATCTGAGAGTTTTAGTATTTAACATTTATTGGTATTTAATATGTATATTACAGTAGTGCCTAGACACACTAACCTCACTATGCTAGGTACCATACAAAAGCATATGAATACATAATTCCTCGCCTCTCCATTTCAGAGCTTTGGGGAATGTGCATTTCTTCCCACCCTGATACTTTACACATTTGTGAATTGTGACAACATGACTACTCTCATCCTGGCAGATGAGAAATGACAGGAATCATGAACATTTCCAACCACACAGAACACCTGCAATTTTAAATTGTACTTTGTAAGGAATTTGTAAAGACCACTTCAGGGGAAATTTAGATGAAACACGGAAGAGAATTGTAGCCAGACAGCCCCCCCCCCCCATCTCATCCATCTTAATTTGCCTATCTGAGGTTCCTGAAGCATACAGGACAGAGAAGGAGCAATAAAATCAGCATAGTCTATGCTGGCTCATCTGATCCTGAGAAGCTGAAAACATAGATATGAGGAGAGAACAATTAAGGCAATAAGCTGGCCTCGAGGCTGCGAGAAGTACCCGGCTGGCTCCCATGTTGATACGAACACACAGTCCCTGGAACAGGAATTTCCCACTGAGAAAAGAATGCCCAGTACTTCCAATTTAGTTCTCTCTCTTACAAGTGTAAATTAAGTTCACAACTCCCTTGTAAGAACTGGTCTCACAAAAGACAGACCAGCACCATTTGGCATCACAGATGAGAAAGAGAAATACGTGACCCCATGGGTATAAAGATGGGTACAGCAG